ATTTAAAATGTATACCCATGTCCGTCCAGAACTGCTCTCATTTCACGCGGACCCGACCCAAGCCGACTCCAAGCGAAAGATGCTAACTATTATGGTGTTTCTAGTCGCCAAAGTATCACCCTTTGCCAGCAACCCTACATGCATTGCTCAAATCGAATTGACGATCAGGACCGCTAAGAATCCTAACTTAGCCAACTCGTCGAGTCGACATCTCCTTAGATCGACTCGAAGGGCGATACTTATCGGTCCTCTTGTTAAAGACAACTTTCTACGAGCCCACTCGACCAGTTATTTGACACCTTATAGGATCGACTCAAAAGGTGTTCCTTCTCGACACCCCTCGCTATAAGCCAAAGGACGACTTCAATCTTAAGCCTCCCCCGCTGACAGCACGTCGACGTCACATTAAATGCTTGGCAGACGCCATAATTCCTCTAGCCCTAATAGTCTTTATGACACATCGGATCACGTCGGCACAACTTGCCCCTAATCACTTCGTATTAAATATTGAGGTGACATCTCCTCCACTCGTCGACCGACACCTGTAAAGCAGACGTAGGCATGGCCGCCATCCTATACTCGGCCAAAATTATCATTCTACCATTTTACCACCACTATAAATAGGGGTACTATTCCAAATACCAGGGTAAGTAAGCAATATCTCAGAATTCTTCTCCACTGCACTATATTTTAGAACTCACATAGTTCATCACTTTCCCACTCAAGTCCATCAACTGACTTGATCGTCAGAGGAACAATGAGGAAACTAGTCTCCGTCCTCTTACGAGTTGCTATTTGTGCAGGCAGAAGCTACTCAACTCAAAACCAGATATTCAGAGAAGTTAGCAGCCCCTAATCAACCTCACCCTCATTGTATTAACTGTGTGATTATTAGCATCAACAATAAAGAAATAAACTAAAAAAATAATTAAGATATTTAACCACATGCAATGCACGTGGCATCCTAACTAGTGTATGTGTGTGAGAAAGAGAGAGAACATGCTAATTTTACATGTCCAAGCAACATTGTAGTATGATATAATAGTCCATTTATTTTTGTTTTTCCATGCCTGAATGAAAGCTTCTAGGATTGTTTCATCGATCCATGTAAGCGATCCAAACTGATGACCTTGAAACTTAGCGTGTTGCATACTGATTTTTGTGGCCTAACCGTAACAAAGAGTTGTTTCAGAGTTGCGTTGGGGATGTATGTCTATGGGAGCGCAGCCCAATATTTTGATGAATGGAGGAAGACCCTATGAGATTCACATGTGCTAACAGTGCTAGTTTTGAGGCTCCGACTGATTGGTGCGCTCTTATTTTGGGGCAGCTCAAACTTGATGTAGATAGAAGCTTTGTTGAGGCTACTCGTGAATCAAGTGTTGAGGGCATGATCCAAGACCATAATGGGATGTCCTTTGAGCTTTTCCTATCTTGAGAGTGGGCGGAGTGCCTGTAGAGCAAACCAAGTTACTTGCCCTATTGCATGGCCTTCAATTTGCGTGAAGAGTAATCTTGTTATTCATAGGGTAGGTACGAACTTCATGGGGGTGATAAACCTGCTAAAAAAATCCAAGTTGTGAACTTTCACCCCTTAGAAGATATCATCGTTAAGATTCGAGGGGAACTAGAATGGTGTGCAATGCCCCAAGTTGTTTATACGCCAATGAATGCTAATAAAGTGGCCTACCGGCTTGCATCTGTTGGTCGTTGTTTCATTTTAGCTAGGTTTTTACTTGAGGAGATTCCAGAATTTTCATCTCCATTTATTTTCGCTAGCATTTCTAGCGAGATGTTTTAGGATTCCTCCAATTTGTGGAGGGTCCTATGTTATTTAACCGAAAAAAAGATTACAAGGACTTAAATGCAGATTGAAAATTTAATTTGGACTTTGAATATGATTGTTGGGTAGAAATCATTACAACATCGTAATACATATCAGATATATTGAATTGGATTAAGGATCGATCCTAATCCAATTCAAATTCTAGAAGTTCTCGCTTTAAACATTTACCGCAAATAGTAGCTAACTATATGAGCCCATTCAGATTGGATCGAGTCGATTTAGGTCAATTCTCAGGTTACAGCATTCATTGAATGCTTATGTCCCAAACTTCATGATCAGCTTGGCCCAAATCTGAGCAAGACACCTCCAATTTCATCAAGATAAGCTTATCTCTAGTGTTGTTGAACGAAATCTTGATTCATGTCTGAACGGTTGCAAAAATGTCTAATTGCGTCTAATTCTGGAAGCAACACTCTGGATGGTGACAACCTTAACATCATGCTCTAATATATATCATTATGTATTTTTGCAGTTTAGCAAAGTTTAATAAACCCAAACTTTAGGAGAACCAATCCCAACACTCTCCGGGCCTCTCTCCGGGCCTACTAGTCACTACTATAATATTAATCCCAACACCGCACCTACACTCCACAATAAAAGACCCTATGCCACACTGGTCCCCACATCTCAACTAGGAAACGAGCCCTTTAAGAAACCAAAATTAACCACATTTGTGGCTGGTTCGGTTTGTTTTGGGTCCGAGAAGATTTTTCTAAAGGATTTGATAAAAAGAAAGAGGGAATTCAGGAGAAGTAACTTCATTTGATGAGAAAGTAAAAGAAAATGTACAACATATTTTGTGTAATCATCATTGTTAAAGATGCGATCGACATAGTGAAAAATATAACAACAAATCCGTGATAAAAGTAATGAAAATAAAAAACACAATCATAGAGAGACAAGGATTAAAGAGGTTTGACAGTCAATAAGCTAATCTATGTCCTCAGAGTAGAACCATGTTGTAATTCCAATAATAGTCAATAAATGATTAACCCAATCTCTTAAAACCTAAACTAAGGTTCTTCTTGTCTCTTTTTTTCTCCTTTCTGAATGTAGAAAATAATAAGCAGTTGAACATACTTATAGCATAGGGATTTTGTTCATAGGGTCAACCAAAATATATCTTCACCATAAAATTCTACATTAAAAATTTCTTCCTAGGGCACTATTGACTACAGGGGCAAGGTGAGGGAGTTATTCTGTAGGCGTTCAATCTGGATCTAGATGATAAGTATTTTTCATGTAAATCAAGCTTAGTTTACGCTTGGGAGATTTGGCATTAACTTTACACAATCAAACAAAATAGGAACAATATAAGCCATTTTATAATCTTTTTACTTTTTATTTGTAGTAGTTTAAACCGATACAAGAACTTAAAGAGATCTTTCATAACTAGATCCAGCCAAAAGAACTTGGATGAAGTAGATCGAGTACTAATAAAGATTAGGATAAATTTAAGAAGGGAAGGAGAGGTTATCCATAGAGAAGTCAAAATGATTCTTCCTCTTAGCTCTAAGGCTTCAATAGCTAGACAACCGAAGCTTACGATCAAATTCGTCTGGGGAGTAGGCTAGGTCTTGAAGTCCCTCTGACACTCAAATTAGTAATTTTGAGTTATACTATAAAAACTCTAAGACTCGATGTCTCAAGAATGAATTCGGTTCTCATGTCTCTTTTGGATAACTTGTTTCTATCCATGTAGAGAGTGTTTGTGTTTCTAAACGAGAATATGGGCACATTTTTTGAGTACAATATGATTGTATTTGCTAGGAGTTGATACGTGTTGCTTCTTTCCATGAATATGATGTCTTAATGGTGATTGAACCAAAGACATCAGTTAGCACGGCGAGAGATCATACGTTGTGGTAAGTAAATCTGTTTTGCATTCATCTTTTTATGTTGATATTCTTGGTGGAAAAAAAAAAATCAAGGCGCTTGTTTATAATTGGGGGTATCAAAGTGTCAAAATAAAACTTAAGGATATCAAAGTTAATAGGATTGAAATTTGAGGTGTTAAAGTGCAAATAACCAGACCGGTTTGTGTCGTTCAGAAGTCAAAAGAGAACCGACCGGATCTAACTGGGGGCACACCCGGGTGGGGCATCAGCGTAGTTGGGCATTTCCTTATTGTAACTTATCTTTCCACTTCCGTCTCAAGCTGATCTCACCCCGGCTCCCACTAATTTAATTAAAAAATAACCCAAAAGAGAGAGATTTTCAACATAATCAAATAATCTCCGGGCCACCTGTCCCTCCTCGAAATCCAACGGCCAAGATCGCTCCATCTCTCACCCTGGCATTGGTCAGCACGTCACATCACCAGCCCCTCACTATCTCTAAAGCTGCCACGTTACCCCCGTTATTAAATTCATTTCGGCTCTCCCCTCCGCCCTTAAAACCAGACCTCGCCGAAGTTCGACACCTGTCGTCTCCTCAATCAAGAGAGAGAAAAAGCATCAGCAGCAAGCAGCAAAACAACAAGCAGCAGGCCCCTCCCTCTCTCTCTCTCTCTGTAACAATAATTACTTTCTTTTTCTTTACTTCCCTTTTTTTTGGATTTTGGTTGTAATTAACAGGGTTCTTTTTAGTTCCGAAGCTTAAATGGGGGTATAAATAAATTGAGAGATTTTCGAGCAGTTTCCTCCTTCCTAAAAGAGGAGGAGCTGCGGAGATTTTGGTCGCCGCTAGGGTTTTGATCCTTGATCGGATTTTGTTTGATTTAGGTGGAAGTTAAAGGCGAAGCAGTGATGAATTTCAAGAGCATGGGGTCGGAAGGGTCCAGGGAGGCGCGGGAAACAGCAGCGGCGGCGGCGCGCCGGGGACGCCGCTGGCGTAGGCAGCTGTCGTCTAACTCGTTGAACGCGTTCGAAGTGAGTTTCAGATACTCTCGGCGGGCCTGAAAGGATTTTGGATCTATGAACACATGGACGATTTCTCGAAAAATATTTAGGACGCGGAGGAGAGCCAGGGCCCATGGCTCACGCCCTTGGAGGCGGCGCCACCGGTGATTCCTCGCGCGACGGCGCGGAAGAGTAGGATGAGGCAGGGTTCTTTGTAGCCGAGGACTATAGGAGTGTGGGGTGATGAAGAGATCTTTTGAGAGTCCGGGAGGAGATAGGACCTCCGCGGCCAGCGTGCATTGATATAGAACAGCAGCAGGCAGCGACAGCAGACACTCGGCGAGATGACCCTTGAAGAATTCTTGGTTCGAGCTGGGGTTGTGAGAGAAGATGTCAATCCTCAACCAGGACAGAGACAGATGATCGGCAATAATGCTGCCAACAATAACCATGGAGCAGCTAATAATAGTAACAACAGCATCTTCTTTGGGGATTTACCCAATTCGAGTAATACAAATCCCGGGCTAGCTCTCGGGTTCTCTCAACCTGCAGCAAGAAACGCCGGAGGGATTGTGCACAGCCAGATTCCCAACAGTACTACGAGGCCGTTCCCTGCTCCGTTGCAGGTGGCAGGTAATGTTGATATTGGGAATCAGCAGGGGATGAGAGGAGGGATTGTTGGGATTGGAGATCATGGGATGAGCAATGGGTTGATGTCTAGTGTGGTGGGTTTGAGTGGTGGAGGGGGAGGAGTTACAGTGGCGACCATTGGGTCGCCGGATGGACTTGGGAAGGGAAATGGGGATCTCTCCTCGTTGTCTCCGGTGCCGTATCATGTTTTTGGGTCTGGGATTAGAGGGAGGAGGAGTAATGGGGCTGTAGAGAAGGTGGTGGAGAGGAGGCAGAGGAGGATGATTAAGAATAGGGAGTCTGCTGCGAGGTCACGTGCTAGAAAACAGGTGAGTGACTATCCCTATATAGTCCAATTTTATGTGATGATATGTGCTTTCACAAGAAGTTATTTCAGTTATGGTTTTGAATAGCACTCTTGTGCTTAAGCTTTGATACGATACTGGTTAGCTTCATATGTTTGTAAGACCATGCTTATGTTTAGCTTTGATAAGTACTGGTTATCTTTACATGTTCTTAAATTGGTCTACTACTAGATAGCGGAGCAGGTATTTAGATTTTTAAAATCGAAAGTGATGTTGATATTGTTGGATTACTCAACTCATTATTAAAATGGACAGGTATCAGTTTTGAGTGACTAGAAATCCTTCCGATTGTTCTTCTGTGAAGGACATAGAATATATGCTAGCTAGATGAGCTTAGAGCCTTTTCTGCTACTAGATCAATTGAATGTTAACTGGATAACACAACTATATTCCAATAAGAGTTTTCTTTAGTCATTGAAGTGTGCTGGCGGGATGACTGACAGATTATTACAGAATCTAGTTGCATAAGTAACAGCCAAGATGATCTAATGCGTTACCATCCTGTTGGCATGGTGATTGTTATGCACAGTTGAACACTGCAGCTTTATAGTTTTCAGAATTTTTAAGGTTAAGCATGTTGGCACTGCATGAATTGTGCTTTAATGTTTATCTTTTCCTATTTGCCCTAAGCCAGAGCAGAGTTCCATTAGGTAGCCATCTACCAGCATAGGACCTAGTCGAATCCACATGATACACGACCTAACGTGTGTTAGGCGCTCACCGAACCTTGAGCACATGCTCCTGTTAGTCTATTCGTATCCTGAAATGGGTATATCGTTTCTGCTAATAGTTTCTACTTACTTTTTCTAACACCAAAACTGTACTTTTTTAATTTGTGTAGGCTTATACCATGGAGTTGGAAGCTGAAGTTGCTAAACTCAAAGAGCAAAACCAGGAATTACAGAAGAAACAGGTACGGCTGTTTTTAATTAAATTGACCCCCTTGTTCTTGATTATTCATACGTCTTTGTTCATGCTAAGTACTCTCCAAAGTTGTATCTGATACAATTCATAATTATGAAGCTAAACTCTATTGCTTAGTAGTTATTGAAATTTTTTCTGCAAGGTAAAGATTTTGTAGATTAACTTACAACTCCGCCCTCTATCTGATATTGGTAGAACTACTTATTGAAACCACCTTGCATGTCGGGATAGAAGTCGTACACGAACTTTATTCTGTAGAGCCTAGGGTGTCACATCCTAAAGTTCCTATATTGATCCACATTACTATTATCTAATGTTATACATCCTCTACGATGTGTAATTTGATATTATTGGGAATATTACTTGGATAGGGATTATGGGTGCTAATTTGCCCAATGGGACTTGGTAATTTGCAAAAGCATTGGTTTGCATGACATTGGAGTAAAGAAAATCTAACATACTATTTGCCTAAATGCTTCTTAGTAGGTGTGGTTTCAGCCTTGTTTGGCATTAAGATCAACTCCCCATTTTTATGTTTATAGTCGATTTTGAGATCAAATCTTAGTCTTTATCTTCCCTTTTTCACATAAGTTTGACCCATAGTCTATACTTACATGTCAAGAAAATACTAAAGATATTAGGCAAAAGTTTATTGAGTGTTATATTTTTAGGTTTTGACATTTTGGACACCAAACATTTAGAGGATGCTTAGGACGCCCAACAACAAATGAAGTAATTGCATGAAGATGTTATAGTAGTTCAATTTTATATCAACATTTCGTATGATGAGAACAATGTCAGATGGAGCGATTTTGAGATCAAATCTTAGTCTTTATCTTCCCTTTTTCACATAAGTTTGACCCATAGTCTATACTTACATGTCAAGAAAATACTAAAGATATTAGGCAAAAGTTTATTGAGTGTTATATTTTTAGGTTTTGACATTTTGGACACCAAACATTTAGAGGATGCTTAGGACGCCCAACAACAAATGAAGTAATTGCATGAAGATGTTATAGTAGTTCAATTTTATATCAACATTTCGTATGATGAGAACAATGTCAGATGGAG